CAGATGCTGTGAAAGAGGCAATTTGGCTTCAAGGATTGCTAAAGGAGCTTGGTGTTGAACAAAAAGGTATCACAATTTTTTGTGATAGTCAAAGTGCTATTCAATTAGCGAAGAACCAAGTTTATCATGCAAGGACGAAGCACATTGATGTTCGGTATCATTTCGTACGAGAAATCATAGAAGAAGGTGGAGTCACGGTGAAGAAAATTCATACTACAGAGAATCCTGCTGATATGCTGACAAAGGTGGTGACTGCGGTCAAGTTTCAACATTGTTTGGATTTGATCAACATTGTTGAACACTGAAGATTGAAGATGAAGACACAACCAAAATTTGTTATTGAGAGAGAATTGAAAATGTGGAATTTTGCCAAGGTGGAGATTTGTTGAAGTTTGGCAAAATGCCAAAGTCCCACATTGGTTGGGAGTTAAGTTTGGAGGGGATTTTTCCCCTATAAAAGAAGGCTTAATGTTTAGGATTGAAACACACCTCTCATTTGTCTTCTCATATGTTTAAGGCATTTGTATCTTCTCTCTTTAGTATTATTTCACTTGTATTTTTGGAGTGGAATAAAATATTGGTTGTGTCCGAGGAGTAGGCAAAATTAGTCGAACCTCGTAAATTCTGGTGTTCCCTTTATTGTTGTTTTATTGTCTTATTTATTATTTGGTGGCTATCATAATTTTTGGTATAGTAGTTGTGACTTATTCACACTATATACATTTGGTTTCCGCAACAGTGGGAACCTAAATTCATTGCCTCTAATACTTAACTAACGTACTCTGCTATATGGGTGCATCTTCCTGAACTCCCTACTGAGTTTTATAATTTGGAAATTCTACAACTGGTGGGATCTAAACTGGGCAAACTGCTAAAAGTTGATACTTGCACCACCACTGCTATTAGGGGAAGGTATGCACGCATTTGCATTGAGGTAGCGCTTGAAAAGCCACTTAAAACACACATTCATATTGACAACCGCAAACAAGCCATCCAAAACGAAGGGCTTAATCTTCTTCGTACTGACTATGGAAGATATGGCCATGCCTCATTAAACTGCTCCTTCCAAAAATCAATAACAAGCTCTTTTTTGAATACAAACAGCTCACCTTCTTCTTCTACTAAATCCCCTACTGTCAAACCCCAACAAATAGAGTGGCAAACTGTCAACTTTCCAAGGAGGAATAACAACCGCATGACCAATCATCCAAGCTCAACAATGAGGAATGCAAAGGAGGCGGAAACCAGAACACCACCGGCAGAAGCAGGTAAGTTCCCTATACCTACTGAGCTAAATAAGGCCGACTCAAACTGTAATTACCCAAATCCACATGGGCAGTCCACTAAAAGCTCTTCTAATCATTTCCTATATCTATCAGCTGATATGGATACTAACTTAGTTAATAATGACATTCTTCCTACTAGCCCAGCATTGACTTCTAACCGGCCCAATACTACACCCTCACATAACATAATCCAACATGTCACACCAAACACTTTCAACTCTGAAGCCCTTATTAGTAGGTCCAACAGGGCAAACTTACAAGCCCACAGCCCACACAGTTAGAAACCATATTAATTACCTTAGCATTGTTAATAGTAATAACATTACTCAAGAAACCCTACTGTCAAACACTAGCTTCCACACGTTAACTATCCCTTTGGTGACACGTTAGGTAAATGAGCCTACTATTACCACAACCACTACGGGCTACGACTGACCAATCATCCAAGAATATAATCCCTAATGCCCAGCAAAGTCCTCGAAATTACCTCTACAAAACACCATTAACAACACTAAGTTGCATACTACAGTAGCCTATGAACCTACGATTTCTCCAACTCCAACAAACCATAATGATTATGGTCCATGTGATGACCATCATCTCTCCGCCACCCTTCCATCCTCTTCTATACATGCTATTAGGCCACTGTCTACACCTTCTAATACTCCTGGAGGAATAACTCTTCTGCAGCAACTCCTTCAATATTACCTCCACCAACAGTCTACTCTTCTTTCACCTTTCTTCATAAACCATGCAGCGACCAACCTTCACAAACACTCACAGCAACAACTATCTCAGAGAAGCAATCCACCACAACAACCAGTTTTATCATCTTCCTCGCCTGATCATGCAGGGTCCACAAATACCCCACCCATCAAAGCCTCTGATATGCACTTCACAACCTCAAATGATGGACCATCCATTACAATCATGGCTGGATATGGGCCTCCAAGTCTATGCTCTGATCTTCACCGTAGAGCTCAATAAACAGGAAGTAGTCCTCTTAGTCCAAAATCCAACACATTTAGCCGAAATTATAACGGAGGGAATCAGGTTTGGGATGGAGGCATATGTCCAAACACAATGGTACACAACTCAGACTCCACTACTACTGGACCATCGACTCGCACCAACCACAATGGTCGTTTCCCATGAACCCTCCAACTCTGCATGTAAACCCACACATGAACCTGCTTCTTTTCTACCCTCCACACCACTAGGGCCAAATATATGCCCTTTAGTTCCAACCACTTGACTCATTCAACCCTCTATCACCCTACTCCACACCAATAAGTCCATATGACCCATTATCTCCACAAATGACTCCATCTCCTTCACCACAAATATCTCCAAACGTACTAGACATGCAAACAAATCAGGAGTTGGTGGAAATCTTAGCGGAGATGAGGGTAACTCGCACGGAATTTCTGTGGCTAAAGGGCATTTATCTTTACAACCTCAAGGAGCAGTACAAAAAAAGTTCATACTGAAATGCCCGCTAGAGTTAGTAACATGCAGACTCAACTTCCGTTTGATGACAAATCGAGAAGCCGGGAAATATGCCATGGTCATAATTCCGACGCTTCCAAAGATTAAATCAGTAGAGGATCAGGGAATGATGGCCATGCAGGCTACCAATCCCTAGAGTCCAGTTCCGACTGAGAGGGTAATCGTTTCACCTCCAAGCATGAATTTTATAATTTGTAATTGGCGAGGTTCCTATAATGCTGAATTTAGGCACCACTTCTGATCCTTGTTGGACAATCACAGGCCAGCTTTGGCTATACTCTTGGAGACACACATGCATGATCACACAGTGCTTCGCGACGATTTTCAGTTCACTCACATGTCGGAGGTGCCTGCTAATGGGCTCATAGGTTGTTTGGTCGTGTTGTGTCATGACACACTAATTAATATGGAAGAACTGAGGATGTCAGAATAAGAAATACACTGTCTTGTTTAGATATGTCCATCCACTGCTGGTTATTATCTACAATTTATGCTAGTAATTCTTACGGTGCTAGAAATAAACTATGGGATAGTTTAATGTCTTTTCATGGAAACTACGTAAATGGTCCTTGGCTAATAGGATGGGACTTTAATGAAATACTTAGCGCTCATAAAAAATTTGGTGGTCTACCAATAAGTAATAGTAGAGCAGATAACTTTGGAAAGTTTATTAATTCATGCAATTTGATGGATTTAGGGTTTAGGGGTAGCCATTACACGTGGACCAATAAATGACGTCATGGCTACACAATTTTAGAAAGACTAGACCGTATTTTAGCAAATTATGAATGGCTTAATATATTCCCAGAGGCAGCGGTTCAACATTTACCACGAACTTATTCGAACCACTATCCGCTTTTATTAACATTGGAATCTAGGCGCCCCATCATAAGAAAATCTTCCGCTTTGAGACAATGTGGACAACACACCCTCAATTCCAACAACTAGTGCATAAGGTCTGGGGAAATTAGTTTGATCTTATTAGCACGAATTTTTTTTCGAGGAGGCTATTCCAAACGAAAGTTATTAGCTCGATTCAAGGGCATTCAATCTTCAATTCATTATCCTACAAGTAAATTCCTTCAAAATCTAGAGCAACAGTTAATAAATGATTATAGTAACATTCTGCGCTTAGAGGAAGATTTTTGGAAACTTAAATTTCATATATCGTGGCTAAATAACGGTGACGTCAACACTAAATTTTTCCATATGTCCATACTACAACATAGACGAAAAAATAGGATAACTGATCTACAAGATATAGTAGGAAATTGGACTTTTAACACTAATGAAATACACAGACAAATCTCTGATTACTACCAGCACTTGTTTTCAACAGAACATATTTTTTCTTCAACTAATATTCAGGTAGCACATTCAAATGTAATTGAACATACTGACTTCCAGCTCCTAGAGGCAGTTCCTAAAGATGTAGAAATTACTCAAACTATAAAAAGATTCAAACCTTATAAAGCGTCAGGTCCGGATGGCCTACATCCTTTTTTCTATCTAAAATATTGGAACGAAGTAGGCCCTAAGGTTATACGTTTTTGCCAACAAATTTTCACTGACAAGGTCATTCCCCCTGACCTTAATCACACTTACATACACTACTAAAAAATGATCTACAGTAACGGTTGGAAAATCGTCCCCATAGACTGCCAAATCGTTGTCGTAGGGATTTTGGAACGGTTTACCGCCCGTTACATCAGCCGGCGTACCCATAGGTCTACTGAAATGGTTCTTGCAACGGTTTGCATTGCCATGACAATAGATATGTCTATCGCAACGGTTTTCCCCTTCTCTGTTGGAACGATTATTTTTTCCAATTGGAACGGATTAAAACCATTACTATATTGTTTATACAACGGTTCTTAACCATTGCCATATTATTTAAAGCAATACTTATGTAAGCTATTGCTACGGTTATGTTGGATATAGCAACGGTTTCTTTAAGCTATCGTGACGGTTATATTTGTATTTGGAACGGTTTTGTAGATCATTTTAGAACAGTTTATGGGACATATTGCAACGGTTTACATTGTCTACTGGAACGCCATTTGTATCCTATTGCAACGGTTCAGGTAGGCTACTGTATCGGTTCAATTAAAATCAAAATATATCACTTGTTATAAATAAAATTTATACATATAATAAATTATAATAATATTAAAATTTAAATACATCATAAAATGAAACAATTAATAATATAAAATTATCCATCAAGCAAATAATAATATCTATAAAGCACTATCCCATGAGTGCATAAGTATAGTATATTTCAAGAGGGTAAATAAGTTTCAAAAAATATTGGTAACAAAAGATTCCTAGAACATTCATCTATAACAATTCAAAATTATCTCAAGTAAGGTCTAGTTCTTAATCGTCTTCATCATCCATTTCTTGATTTACTCCACCTACAAAAGAGGATAAATAAAGTTATTATCCTTCAAGAGAATCCGGTCTAAGAATACTCATAGAACAAATTGCCATGAAAAAAAAAGAGAGAGCTAGCTACTATTACAGAGTGCAAAAAACCTTTTCTTAGTCAGTGTACTAAGAAATGAGTTTCAATAGCAGCAGGTTAGTTGTAGGCTTGTAGCCATGTTTACTTCTCTTGTTTTGCTTAAGAATAAACATTGAATTTACTTTTTATGTCCAGGGTTTGATATATAGCATTATTCATAGCATGTCTTCAATCTATAAAAAGGGCAGCCCGGTGCACTAAGCGCTATACGCAGCCTTACCCTACATTTCTGCAAGAGGTAGCAACTTTACTAGTTACGCCAAGGCTTTCCATCATGTCTTCAATCTACAGACTAAACAAATTGAGATTGCCAAAACATTTTCTAACCATTTCTTAAGTCTAAGGAGAAACATATATAAAAGATTCCAACAACAAAATGTGCAAGTTTAACAAGGTAGCCTCGTTATTCTCAAGTCGAAAATTGAAAATGAACAAAAATTATATGAACAATACCTCCTAAGCAATTTTAAGTTTTATAAGTAAAAATGATTATTTCACTCGAAATACTTCTCAAACAACCTTTTCAATATTTCACCAGTATTTCAACTACCGAAATTCAGTATTTGCAAATATTAAACATCGATATAAAGATCATGTTGGGAGTTGAAAACCTCTTCTACTTGTTTTCCTGCTATCAAGAAAATGCCTTGTGAGAACTCATGAAGTACTTTAATTTTTATAATGCGAAATTGTTTAAGAAAGTAAATATTAAAATAGTATCCTCCCCTTATAAAAGGCCAGCACTATTAGCTGTCTCTGTTCTCAGATCTACCTTCATCCTGTCATAAGACAATACTCCAACAAAAAAAATGGAGCATAGGGCTTCTAATTTTCTATGCTTATTCTTACTAATATTTGTGGGATTTTCCCTTCTCATTTCCACCATCGCAGTTCCTTCTTCAAGTAAGTCATAAATAAATCCATTCTTATTATCTTTTCTTTTCAGATATTGCTAATTTAAATTCCTGGCAGTAATTTGTATCTTGTGGTGATAATTCACAGGAAGCCTAAAGACAATTACAGAAAATCTACCATTCCAAGATTCTCATTACAAGGTTCCTCTTTCTTCTATCTTGAATCCTATTTACTACCGTAATTTCTTTCCATAACCTACTTGCTATTTAAAAAAGCAGCCAATGCATTTCAATGATGTAATCTTCATTACAAAGACAGTAAACATATGATATAAATGTCAATATAACTGTACAAAGACATGATAATACAGCCATATGGACTGCCTAGTGAAAATGGAAACATGGCAATTCATATCCCCTCTGCCTTGAACCAAGCAAAATCCCAAGCAAGGAAGAAGGAGAAGAAGAAGAAGAAATAGAAGAAGATGTATAATATTTGGTACGTACTGACCTTGATTGTTACTACCAGCAGATGGTCGACTGTTTAGTTGAACAGCAGCTTGTTGTGCAGAGGAGGCTTCTACAGGTGAACGTGCACTGAACCTTAACATGTCAGGATCAAGTCGCAAATATGGGTTCAGACGCTGAAGTCGTGCGATGATGTTCATTGTAATATTTTGTTCCATGGCATCCTTTTATTCGTTCAACTTTTCATGCATTCTTTGTTGCATCCTCTCTTCCATTTCCTCCATTTTCTGTTGCATCCTCTCATCAGAAGACCCAAGATTCCCTTTTTGCCCTTTTAACACAATCTTGGTAACCCCTCGTCCATACAATCTCACGCGACCTGGATGCTCAGGTCCCATGACTGATGCAAAAGCGTCATCTGAATGACTGTCATCTTCACTTTCCTGAGTTGATTGTATTTTCTCCATTTCAGCCTACAAACCAAAAATGCGAGAAAAAAGAGTTTTAAGTAACTAAAGTTGAATCAATAATTAAGAACAAATAAATAAGCACGACAAACTTTAAATTAGAAATTTCATACAATTTTACTAATCGTATTGTCATATGAGCTTTTGTATACTCGGCCAAGTTTTCTTTTTCTTGTAGCCACAAACATGTCCTTACTTGATACAGTATCTGAAGTATCAGAGATTTCTTTCTTTTTTTCCTAGTTACATGAAAACAGGTATAAGAATCTTTCCATATAAAGTTAGCAAGTTCATAATTTAAAAAAATAAGAAAGATAAACATCAAACCTCGCGAATTAAAGCAAAAGGTGTTCTGCCAGCAGTGTGCGGGCACTTCAACTTATTTCGATTCTCTGTATTGGTTTCGGACATTTTCTGCAAATAAACGAGTCAACCAATAGGTGATTGATTTACTGCAATTGGGAAAGCTTATAATGGAGAGAGTGAGCCTCTGAGTTTCATACTCTCTTTTACAGTCTCTTCTTATAATAAACCACCCTATCAATTTAGTAGAACATCTCACAACAGCTGCAGTCACCATTGATGCCCAGTTTTTGTTCCTATTGGAAATTTCTTTACATTTCCACTTCTTTATTAACTAAAAAGAAATTGGTTTTGTTTTGTTATTCCTTTTTCACTGGGTTATTTATCTTGTCTACCTTATGAAAGAGGTCTCAGGTTAGTATAAACCTGCATCTCCAGTGGACTGATATATTTACTTGTTTAAAACTGGGCAGAAATTGGACAGAAACTAGGCAAAAAATTTCTGAAAAAAATTTGCCAGCATTTCGACGCTTTTTGGACATTTAGAAAGAAAAAGAAAAAGAAGAAGAAGAAGAATGAAAATAAAAAGTGCAAAAGCAAAACATACCTGAAGAAGAAGAACCCTTACTCCACCAAACTGACTAGTAGTAGTACTAATTTACTATAGAAACATTTCAAACATAACATGGTAGGGCGGAAGATTGGGGAAAAGCAAATGGTCAAATTCGGTACTATTTTACTTCTGATTCTTTTGACTCAGACACCAAAGAACAATTATGTTAAAACAAGACAAGAGATTCTGGATGTAATTACCTTATGAGGATCGGAGTTCCAATATTTAAGAAGATCCTTAAAGTGAGATTCCGGAATATCTACTGGCCTATTCTCCATTCGAAGCTCATCATTATCATAGGTTGTGAAGTGAGTTGTCTTCAATTGACTCTTATACTTTCTCCAAGCACTACAAACTGATTCAAAAACCCATGGTTTCGCCTCGTCAGGAATGTCATATTTTTTCTACAAATTTAGTACAATTGGATTAGTGTAAGAAATAAAAAATATCATCCATGTTTATGGGACATTGGGAACTTAATACCTTGATATATTTCCACATGTCATCTTTTGTGTCAAGTTTCCTCCAATTAAATACATTAAGAGGACAAAAAGTTTCACTCCTTGCCAATATGCCGAGGAAGCTACCCAACTCTTTTACAACCTCTTTAATAGGACCAACGGGTTGATTATACTCATTTAAAATGATTATTTTATGCTCCTTTCTACCATGAACCCTTGGCATTTGAGTACGGCCTCTTTTTCTTTTTGGCGAGGAGGGGCCTGCAATAGAACAAAACAAAGATAATCATTAATCACTATTTTTAGTTAAGTTTATGATTAAAATTTATATATATTTGCCTTGTTCCTCAAATTGTTCAACTGCTTCATGAGTGGTAGAGTCATCAGATCGTTCATGTACTCCCTATGATGCAGGAGTGATGAAATCCATATTCCCTTGTTGCACTTGTTCATGTACTCCTTGTGTTGCTGAAGAGGTGCGATTCTGTGGCACTTGTTCTTGCAATTGAGATCCACCTTCGGATTATCGTTCTTCATTTGCATTTGATCTTAGAGCTTTCATGGCTGTTTTTGTTGTCAATGATGAAACCTTTTGGTTTCGTAAAGATGAAGGTAATCCACCTTCTGATTGTCGTTCTTCAATTGCATTTGATCTTGTAGCTTGGAAGGTTCTTTTTGTTGTCAACGACGAAACCTTTTGATTTCGCAAAGATGCAAGTGATCCAGCTGGAATACGGTTGGATATTTTCTTATTTTTGCTTGAGCACCCTTCTTGATTCATGACTATTCAAATATTTTTCAGATTCTAAAAAGCAAACACAATATAGGTTAGCAAAAGTAGCAAACATAGTATATCATTTCTAACAAAAATCTGCTCGAAGAATGTATATTTCAGGTGAATCAAACAGATAGATCTAATCATAGGACCTTAACTTCAAGCACAAAGATTCAACAGTATTGTAAGCCTCAATTACAACTTTCCATTCAAGAATTTCGGATGTATTTCTAACAGTTAAACTTGCAAAGCAGAAGTATACTGTCTAATCTTGGGGTTTGGCTGACATATCTTTGGAGGATGCCTTCATTAAGGTGGCAACTGAGGCACAATAAATCAACACTAAATTTCAATCCAAAGAAATGAAAGAAATGCTGAAGTGAGGTGATGTCCCTATAACTACAGCTTCGGCTAGGATTTACAAGGCTGTGAATTCAGCTTTGCAAACTAATAGTAAGTTGAATGGGTGTGTAGATCAAGCTAATACACTCAGCAAGTCAGTAGGGGTGCAGCAACAGATTGAATCTAATGAGCAGGCTGGTCTTCAGCAAGAAAAAGTAGAAGAATCTGGGGCTTTGTTTATCGGGCAAGTCATTCCTAAGACCACTGGATTGTTGGATATGAAAACTAAGAACAAGTTACTACTAATACGCACAAAGAACCAGGCTCACAGGTTGTTAAACACCCAACAGATCAACCTTGGGTAGTGGTAAATAAATCACCAACCAAAAATAATTCTACAGGTCTTAAAAATCAGATTTTAGTAGCTAAGAACAAGTTACTACTGATACGCACAAAGAGCATGACTGTGCAATGAAGAAAACTGGGAAGGATTTGCAACATGTGGATGATGAGGCAAGATCAATAACTGGAAAAACCAGCTATAATATTCAGTTGAATGAACAATGTGAATGAACTGAGCCATTCCGTGTGAGAATGACGACCAAATATCATATTAGCTATAATATTGATATAATTTAATGGAGGATAGAAATTACCAACTAAACCAAAGAGGACGTGGGAGAAGGGACGAGCCTCAACAACCGAACAAAAGTATCCGAAATCTCTCTCAAATCCTGCAAAAATTGAAGCATATCAGAATAATTTTTATAAAGAAAATAAACAAAATTAATCATAAAATATTTATTAAAAAGGCATTATCACTCACTCAAAAAAGAATATACTTAAAAGAATTTCAAAATTTTCTTATTTAATCATCTGCTTCCATCCAGTCTCAATCAGTATCATCAAACCCATCCTCCTCTTCCGATGTTTCCACCATTGTATCATGTGAATTTTGTGCATTAGATGGAGTATCAATGATATCAACGGGTACATCATCTCTTGACCATCTAATGTCAACATCAAGTAATCTAGATGAGGAACCAATGTCATTATTAGGTTTCCTCCAAAATATCTCTCCAATATTAGGACAGTTCTCTTCCTCTAGATCATACAAATCAACAAGTACTTTGCTCCTCGCATAATAAACATCTTTCTCAGTTGGATCCTCAACATAAAAAACTTGATAAACTTGTGATGCCAATACAAAAGAATCATCTCTACTACATAATCTATTGAAGCACACCCGAGTTAACCCATAATCATCTATTTCATTACGAAATCAATCACATCTAAATAGCACAACACTGAAACAACCCCAATAATCAATCTCAATGATATCCTGAATCGCTCCATAATAGATAACTTCACCATCGATGGGATTTTGGTCCCTAGCACTAGCAAAACTATATGTTGTTGCCGATAAAGTAACTCCACTATTTTGAGTCTTACCTCGGGAATCCCATTCTTTAGTATGAAATCGGTATCCATTAATAAAATATCCCGTATATCTTTTGGCTACCATATTAGGTCATTTGGCTAGCGATCTTAAATAATCTGGCAATACAATATTTTTAACTTTCTCTTTAAGCCAATTGTTGAATTCCCGACTATGATCCCTCGCTCTTACCCATGCATTTGATCTACTATGATTAACAATTAAATTCTTATGCTCCCTGCAATCAAGAATATTTCAAGTTTAATCATATAATAAAGAAAAAATAATATAAAAAATAAATAAATATTAATATAATTTATCTTACTCGATAAACTTTTCCATTTGTTCATCTCCAGTATTGAACAGAGCATATCGATGTGCTTCAAAGCATAACTGCGCATCCATGAGAAAAGTATTTTTTTTCTTACTTCCAATTGGATGGCCTATATTAGGGAATATAGGTGACAAATTTTGAGAGCACTCATCATCTACAGTTTGGTACCTACTTAATTTTGTCTTCACACCATCATGTAGATATCTCGAACAAAACGTCAAGCACTCATCGGCCAAAAACCCCTCTGCTATTGACGCTTCTGGCCTAGATCGATTACGTACAAATGAATAGGCAAATGTGGCATTATGTCAAAAAATGTTGGATGAAAAATCTTTTCAAGCTCACATGTTATTTCAACAATTTCAGACTGCATTGTTTCAAGATCTCTTCGCCTTATGACCTTACTACATATAGCTCTAAAGAAATTTCCCAACCTAATCAAGGCCAATGAAATATTCTTGGGCAACACTTTTCTAACAGCAACCTGGAGCAAGTAATGCATCATAAAATGGGCGTCATGACTCTTGTACCCTGATATTTTCATCTCCTTCACTTGTACACGTTCTGAAATATTCGAAGCACAGCCTTTTGGTAATTTAGCATTTTTCATGACAGTACAAAACAAACTTTTCTATTTCAGTTTCATGTAGAAACAAGATCTAGCCAAACTTATAGTTCCATCATTATTTATTCTTGGTTGTAGCTCCTTTCGTATCCCCATTTCTTGTAAGTCATAGCGAGATTTTTCATGATCCTTTGATTTTCCATCTATTTCTAATAAAGTCCCAAGCAAACTATCACATATGTTTTTCTCGATGTGCATCACATCAAGATTGTGCCTCAATTTGTTATGCACCCAATATGGCAATTCGAAAAAAATGGATCTCTTTTTCCACGGACCCTTACCACTCCCAGGCCTTTTTTAGTTCTCTTTCCAAAGATATTGTTGAATTCAAGTAGCTCTTCAAACACTTCTTCAACCGACAATGGAGCAGGTGCAGGTCTATGCTCCTCCTTACCATCAAAAGAATTTTTATCTCGTCGGAATGGATGATCACGAGGCAAAAATCTTTGATGGTCCAAGTAACACATCTTATGACTATGTTTGAGATATTGAGAATATGTGTCATAATTGCAAGTGGGGCATTCCAATCTCCCCTTAACGCTCCATCCTGAAAGCATTGCTAATGCTGGAAAGTCACTAACTGTCCACATTAAGGCAGCACACATTCGGAAAGTTTGGTTGGTTTCAGCATCAAATGTGTCTATCCCAGTTTCCCATAGTTCCTTCAATTCTTCAATTAATGGTCGTAGGTACACATCTATATCATTTCCTAATGAACCTGGAATGATCATAGACAACATTATATACTTTGGCTTCATGCAAATCCACGGTGATAAATTATAGTTCATTAACATAACATGCTACGTGCTATGGGAAATGCTCATGGTCCGAAACGGGTTGAAACCATCACTTGAAAGACCCAATCTAACATTTCGAGCATCTCTAGAGAAGTCTGGGTGCAAAGAATCAAAAGCCTTCCAAGCTTCCCCATCAGTAGGATGTCTTAGATTCCCATCATTGGGTCGTTCATTAGCATGCCATCTCATTGCAACAGCCGTTTCAGAACACATGAATATCCTCTGAAGCCTAGGCTTTAAAGGAAAGTACCTTAAAACCTTTGCAGGGATTTTAGAGCTTGCTTTAGTAAAAGGACCAGCACTCTTCCATCTTGAAGACCCACAAATAGAGCAATTATCGACATTCACATTTTCTTTCCAAAACAACATGCAATCATTAGGGCATGCATGTATTTTTTCATAATGAAGACCCAAATCTGTTATCATGTTTCTAACCTTGTTGAAAGATTCCGGTACCTGAGCAAAGGAAATGCCTCTTTTATCAACTCTAACAAATCAGAGAAAGCCACATTACTCAACCCATGCAAGGATTTAAGCAAGTACAATCGAATAGTGAAACTCAGTTTACTGAAATTTTCACAACCCGGATATAACACTTGTTTTCCTTCCTCCAGCAATTTGAAAAACTTCTTTGCATCTTCAGATAGTCTTTCCCCAACTCCTTCTTCATCCCCTGCCTGACCCTCTATATTTCTAAATGTATCATGAAGTAGCCCATCAATATCATCACGCATGGTAGAACCTTCATCATCATTGCTTGGATGAGGTGTATTTCTCGAGGAAAATCCTTCCCCGTGGAAAACTCATTTGGTATAACCATCAACAAATCCATGAACAACCAAATGATCCTCCACCACATTTCTATAATACCAATAGCGATTCATGCACTTTTTGCAAGGGCATAATATTTTATTTCCTTGGGCGGCTCGTTCAAATGCCTTATCAAGAAAATCATTCACTCCACGGATATACTCATCCGTCCATCTCAAGAGATTCATTCAACTTTTATCACCATTATCCATAGATATTCTATACGATAAAAGTAAATCAACAAAACTAACCAAATAAACCAAAAGCATATTAATTTGACATTTCCAACAAAATTTAAAGCTTAAAATGCAAGGACCAAAATGAAAGGATGTGAGTTCAAGGGGTTATCGATATATTCCACCTAAAAAGAAATGACATATGCGTGTATGAATGCATATTGAGTGATAGAGGGAGAGAGATTTGACATCTTTTAAAGATAATGCAGATCAGACATAATGAGTAAATCTAGAGATAGTTGGTCATTGCCGAGGCACTCAAACAATGCATCTTGTAGGGAAAAAAAAGCAACTGAGACCTAATGAATATTGAGTGACTTAATTGGTTTACACCCACTCTGCTTCCTCAATCTTTTACATAACACCTGCTTGAAAGAGATTCGACTCTTTTAAGTTAAAAAGGAAATAAAAGGCATCAACAAGTTAGCTAGCTGCTACTTTCTCTTACATATATCAGAAACTAATATGATATAATAAAAAATTATCTGGAACTAATGCCTTAATCTATCACATTAAACTGATAAATTGAAGTAAGAATACATATAAAAATACATATCATGCACTTATTATTTTCGGCACATGCACTGGGTGATAAGTATTTTCCACGACAGTAGTATTTCTTAGTCCCATCCAACATGAAAAAGCTTTAGCTGAATATAAAGAGGAACATGCTACAGTTGCAACTTAAAGCACCAAGAAAAATGTAGCATAGCTGAATGAGCTGACAGAAGAGGGCGAGTAATTTATCAGCTAAAGCTGCCATTCCAGCAAATGTGTGAAGTCACTTGGGTTAAGATTGAAAAGTTGTCAGCTTCGAATGCTAAAATCATTAATGAGTGGGTACCCCCTATTTGGCTATGTGCTCCCCTTGGAATAACTTTAGCAAGAAACTACACAAAGATGGATAATCTTCACAAACACTTGTCCGCTTCTTTATATTTTGTAACTTGTTTTAACATGAGATTAGATTTGGTCCTTGTTAACAATACATCTCAGCCATTAAAAAATCTGGAGAGTAATTAGGCATCCAAAATCCTTTTACCACATAGGAATATCCATAAATTAGGTATTAACCCAGCAATTCTATTATTATTTAGAGACAAAAAATTGAACAAATAAGAAGAAACCCACAATAAAAAACCAAAATAAAACAAAAGTAAATCATTCAAATTTATTCGGATCCAAACCATTTAAATACATTTACTAAATGAAAATGAAGAAATTTTCTAGTGTTTCTACTTAGAAAAGCGGACAGCAGTACTAACCTTTGACAAAAATTTGGCTTTTTCAATAATATCTTTAAGATGAGGAGCCAAAGCCTCTGCCCTTATCGCACCAAATTTGCAGCTTCTCCAACCCCTACTAGTACCAAAGTTGTTTCACCTACTAATTTTATCAAAAACACAAAGGGAATTAGTGTATCTTACCATAAACTTGTAAAAAAAATTAAGAGTAACCATGAGTATAACCTTTGCAGCTATAGAAAAATTAAGAGTCTTCGGCGGTAGAGTACAAAAAGGCCGCACCAAAAAGGCTCCTAAAAAGCAAATCTCGGCCAGACCGTTATGGCACCGGAATATCTGGATGGGAGTCTCGTCAGCGACTACTTGCTGAGTCCTCTATTTGCTGAGTCCTTGCAATTTATTTGCTGGAATTAAGAGACCGTCGATATATTAATTTGCTTAGTCCTTGCAATTTGGGCATCTTCAGATTTGCTTGGGGGAGTATTCTCTAATTTGGTAGTTTGATAGTTGAGAAAAGTGGAAAGTGTTGTTCTGTTCGATGTGCTCTAGGAAATAGTTCATCTGAGTGGGCTCCATATATTTTGTTATTAGAAATTAAAAAAAAAATTCTAGGGTTTGGTTAATGGAGGGAAAAAACGAAAATAAAAATAAAATTGGGTAAAGTTAGGAGGGAAATTGAACCGTCTCCATAGACCCATTTTTAAAGAACCGTAGTCACAGGTCGTCCTACTATTACGGTTACAAAAACTGTCGCAGTAGAACACCCTATGGCGACGGTTATTTCACTTATGTAACGGTTTACTTGCAAAAATGTGCCGGTTGATTTGATATCCTATTGGAACGGTTATAACCGTTGCTACAGGGTCTTTAGTAACGGTTATATAACCGTTGCGGAAAATACCGTTACTATAGGTCCAATTTCTAGTAGTGATATGCCTTATCCCAAAGTTCAAGCACGCACACACAATTCAACAATATAGGCCTATAAGTTTGTGTAATACTATTTACAAATTAATTACTAAAATATTAGTTAATAGGCTAGCCTGTCCTTTTGAAAATTATAGGTCCAATACAAACTAGCTTCCAACAAGGAAAGAGAGCTTCTGGCAATGCAATAATAGTTCAGGAAATTATTATCCATTTTCATAAGATGAAAGGTAAAACAAGCTACATGCTCCTCAAATTAGACCTTGAAAAGGCTTTTGATCGTCTGGAATGGTCTTTTATAAGAAAAATTCTTTTAAATTTTAATATTCCTAACTTTCTCACACAGTTAATAATGTCCTGTATTACCACTACAACTATGTCAATACTCATTAATGGAACACGTACTTCTTACTTCACCCCTTTTCGCCAAGGGGATCCTTTGTCTCCTTATATATTCATCATGTGTATTGAAATATTTCTCATATGATTAATTAGTCAGTAGATTATCTACATTGGCAGCCAATTCGAATCTCCAAATATGGTCCGGATATCTCACATCTTTTCTTTGCCGATGATATCATCCTGCTTTCTAAAATTAATATGCAAAGTTGTCATGCTATTATTGATGATATTAACCATTTCAATCACATATCAGGTCAAAAAATAAACTTTCAAGAATCTAAGATATTTTTTTCAAATAACTGCTCCCTTTCAAACAAAAGCTTTGTGTTACAATCCTTTGCAATGATGGAAGGACGGTCATTTGGAAAATATCTAGGTTTTCCAATTTTTACTAGTCAACATCAAAATAGTAACTTCCAGTTCATACTTGACAACTTTAAAAGCAGGCTAGTTGGATGGAAGACAAAGTTCTTAACTATGGCGGAAAGAACTACTCTTATAAAATCCATAATACTCTTGTCACGACCCTAAACCCGGACCCGGTCGTGATGGCGCTTCTCATGAAGACAAGGCCAGCCGACAATTTTTCATTCCAGTTTTAAGCAATTAAACAATAAGAATTAAGTCTAAAATGTAATAAATAACCCAAAAGTAAGCAGTGAACATTACAGTTTGCGAAAATAAAACCCAACACAGCCCGATATCGAGGTGTCACTAGTCATGAACATCTATCAATGTACTATAAGTTTGAAGTGTCTACTAAACTATTACAGAATCACTGACAGAGAAAGAAATGAGATAAAGGGGGAGAAACACGGGACTGCGGATGTCAAGCAGCTACCTCGTGAACTCCGAAGTCTGCCAGAAGCTCTCAACCCTTACTAGCAGGATTAGCAACGCCTGAATCTGCACATGGGGTGCAGGGAGTAAAGTGAGTACTCCAACTCAGTGAGTAGTAATCAGAAATAAAGACTAAAAGCAAGAAATCGCGTAATGCACATTATAGGCTATAAGGAAGCAGTAAAGATGTGTAAAATTACTGAGTTCAGTTTAAAAACTTCATAAAATGCCTTTTTAATAGTTAAGCAAGCAAATAACAGGAAAATAGAAAAGATAAACACATAAAGGATCACTCATCAGGCAAGATCATAGAACAACACCAGCCCCTCGGGCTATCTCTCACATCACACTGGGTACCCGCGCTCACTGGGGTTGTGCAGACTCCTAGAGGGGCCCGTTACGGCCCAAGCGCAATATATAGTCATCTCGTGGCATCATCACTAGGCTCTCGGCCTCATATCAACAAGCCATCTCGTAGCGTATAAATCTCATGCCCTCGGCCTCATAATCATAATCAGGTGTTTCCTCACAACATAGGCCCTCGGCCTTACTCAATCAGAATCTCACAGCCACTCGGGCAACAGTAAAACATAGTGCTCAGCCCAAAATATCATTTAAGTGTTAAAGAAGAGTAAACATGGCTGAGTTATGAAAACAGTAGAATATAGCATGACTAAGTTCAAGTATAATGTTAAACTTTAAGAAAATATCAATAAAATCCCCTAAGGGTTCAAATAGTTGGCATGAGGCCCAAATATGGCATTCAGCCCAAAATATGATGATAGCAAATAGTTTTCAGTCAAATACGAAGTAAAATAGTCATTCGGGACGGACTAAGTCATAATCCCCAATAGTGCATGACCCCACGCTTGTCATCTAGCGTGTGCATCACCTCAATGTAGCACAACGATGTGCAATCCATGGTTTCATACCCTCAGGACATCGTTTACAATCATTATTCACCTTAGTCCGGTCCAAACTCTAGCCCGCGACGTCTTTGCCCCTCGAATCGGCTCCACTCGCATCGAGTCTATCCAAAATCAAAATCATGGCATCAAAATATGCTAAGGGGACGAAGCCCAAGCGAAAATAATCAATTCACAACCTAAATCCCGAAATTGCCAAAACCTGATCCCCCGGGCCCACATCTCGGATTCTGATAAAATTTACATCAATGGATTCCTTATCGTTCCCCAAGTTCGCTCATACCAAAATCATCAAAATCCAACCACAAAAGACCCCTCAAATCCCAAATTCTAGGTCTCCAATTTCAAGCCCTAGTTCTTCAATTTTAGGCTTAATTTCCATGACAAATTAGGTAGATTTCACATTAGAATCGAGTTTTAAGTCCATGAATCTTACCTCCAAGTGATTCCCCTTGAATCCCTCTTCAATCCCCTTCAAAAAGTTCCAAAAACGCTCAAAAATGGTGGAAATATACCACAAAATCGCGGACAAGACGAATATTTAAACATTCTGCCCAGGCCTAATTTCCTTCTTCGCGAACAAGGTCAACGCCTCGCGTTCGCGAAGCACAAATCAACTTTGACCAAAAAATTACTCTTCGCGATTGCGACTGTCCATCGTGAACACGATGCTTCTTTCGCTTGACCCTTCGCGAGCGCGTTACCTCACTCGCGAACGCGATGAATAAAATACCCTGAAGCTCAGCTACCCAATTCCTCTACGGGAACGCGGTCCACTTCACGCGAACGCGATGACCAATCACCCATCCCTTCGCGAACGCGGATCCTTCATCGCGAACGCGAAGGCTTAATACCCAGCCTTCACCAATTAACCCTTCGCGAACGCGAGAACCCACTCGAGAACGCGAAGGTCTAAATTCTCTGTAACACACAGCAGTTCTTCTGCAATTCCAAACAACATGAAATGGTCCGATTGACCACCCAAAACTCACCCGAGGCCCCCGGGACCTCAACCAAACATGCCAACATATCCCATAACCTCATTCAAATTTGTTCCAACCTTCAGAATGCTCAAAACAACATCAAAACACCAAATTCGCATCGGATTCAAGCCTAAGAATTTCAAAATCTTCTAAATTACGGTTTTGATCAAAAACCTAAACAATCCACGTCTGAATGACCTAAAATTTTGCACACACATACCAAATGACACAACGGAACTACTGCAACTCTCGGAATTCCATTCCAACCCCTATATCAAAATATCACCTATCAACCGGAAATCGCCAAAAATCCAATTTCGCCAATTCAAGCCTAAATCTACTCCGAACTTCCAAAACACATTCCGATCACACTCCTAAGTCCCAAATCACCTCCCAAAGCTATCCGAACCATCTAAATTCACACCCGAGTCTTCTAACACATAAGTCAACATCCGGTTGACTTTTCTAACTTAAGCTTCCTCAAAAGAGACTAAGTGTCTCAAACCTTACCAAAACCTTTCCGAACCTAAACCAACAACCCGATCACATATAGAACCGATAGACAAAGCAATAAGAAGCAGAAATGGGTGAAATGGAGTGGCAACTCATGAGACGACTGGCCGGGTCGTCACATCCTCCCTAACTTAAACAAACGTTTGTCCTCGAACGAGTCAAGAAACATACCTGAAGCCTCAAACAGGTGAGGATATCTGCTTTGCATCTCTCGCTCGGTCTCCCAGGTAACTTTCTCCATGGTCCGACCTCTCCACTGCACTTTCACTGAAGCTATATCCTTTGATCTCAACTTGCAAACCTGACTCTCTAAAATAGTTGTTGGCTCCACATCATAAGTCAAATCACTATCCAACCGAACCATGCTGAAATCTAGAATATGAGACGGATCCCCAATATACTTTCAGAGCATAGAAACATGAAATACCGGATGCACACTTGGCAAGCTGGGTGGCATAGCAAGCTTATAAGCCACCTCCCCAATCCTCCGTAGCACCTCAAAAGGCTCAATGAACCGATAACTCAATTTACCCTTCTTCCCAAATCTCATAACACCCTTCATGGGTGAAACCTTTAACAGAACCNGTATAGATCTCTGTCAACCACTCTGAAGAATAGGTAGTACATACATAAATGAAGTGCACGGACTTGGTCAGCCGATCCACAATTGCACAAATAGCATCGAACTTCTTCAAAGTCTGTGGGAGTCCAACTACAAAGTCTATAGTGATCCGCTCCCACTTCCACTCTGGAATATCCACCCGCTGAAGCAAGTCACTTGGTCTTTGATGCTCATATTTCACCGGTTGACAATTGAGACACCGAGCCACAAATCCCACAATGTCTTTCTTCATTCTTCTCTATCAATAATGCTGCCTCAAATCCTGATACATCTTCACAACACCCGGATGAATGGAATACCGTAAGCTATAGGCCTCCTCAAGAATCAACTCCTGA